AAACACCGATATTGGCGCCACAATTCTTGAACATGGAAACGGGGTGTCGAGAGCAGATTGATTGTAACCTAGACTGGATGAAACGCCAATATGCTAGCCACTCCACTGTAGTTCTGCCTGTAATGATTCTTGTTTATACTTCTTTATAATAGTTGTAGGACTACGAATTGGCATCGGATGATGGGGCGTGGTAAGAACCTGATGTGCCTTTTTTGAAACAAAAATAAGGTTGCTCCCTTTTTAAGTAATTAATCTCTATTTTTTAAGTGGAAGCATCAAAAAATTATGTGGCTATATCATCTCCCATTGTTTTGTTGTAGACTTCTAGGGAAGTAGACAGATTAAATGGTTTTACCTTTTATGTGCTTTCACGCGGACATTTAACAGTATAATCTTCTCCTACTGTTAAATTTAAGATCAATCGAGAATTAGCCTAGGAAGTCGAAATGAAAGTTGTAAATCTTATTTTTACATACGTGTGGATATAAAGAACGTTAAAAACGGAGCTCGTATTCTAAAATTTTTGATTTTAAAAGTCGAAAATGTGTTGTGCGAAAATGGATGACGTGACACAATCTTGGCCATTGGTTTCTCCCCAAGTATTGCCACCAGATGGTGACACGTGGCATCAAGTTCAGTCATATTTCACCCTATAAATAGAACCACTCTCACTCTTATTTTTTTCACACCTTTCCTATTCTTTTTTCTCTCTACATTCTCTCTAAACCTCCCAAAACTCCCCTAGCGCTAGAAAAAAGCTCAGGAGCGATCGACGGCTCCGAGAAAAAGAGCTTTCGACTCGGAAGTTCTGCCCCTGCAATCCAAAAAAGTCGAGATTTGGATCAAACCTCGGAAAAAATGCATACCACAGTGACCATTTTTTCGAATTTGACTATAATTAAAAGTAAAAGATATATAACGAAACATGTATAAAAGGGTTATATAAAAGATAAATTTTCACAAATGGTCTTTTGTTTTGATTGTGTCCTTAAAACAATTTTAATGGATTTTTTTTTTTTTTTTTTGTATAAATAATCTATTTGAACAAAACATTGCAGTCAAGTAGTCCTCCTCATATGGATGTTTTTGGATAAAGATAATTTATAATATTTTTTGAAACTTCCCTAAAGACCATATGTGAAATTTTGTTTAAGGATTATCTGTGAAATTTAAAAGAAATCTATTTGGTGTATTAATTATCATAAATCAAATAAACAAAACTAAAACATAGAAAATGTAATTATAGATATATAAAAATGATAACCTTTCCTTTGTAAGATGAATTTACTTAGCTAATCATATAACTTTTAATGCATAAATTGCAACTTTAGTATTTCAATTTTGTATAATTCATCACTTGCAAGTATTCTATTTTATAAAATAATATTTTTATCTCTATACTTTTTAAAATATCATTTCACCCCCTCCATTTTCAACTTTGTAAAATATCAATTTCATTACTTCTTTCATCCATCAATTTTGTATAATCCGTAACAACACCTTTATTTTGTAAAATGACACATTCCATCATTTTTACTTTTTAAAAAATCACTTTCATTGCATCCATCTTAACTTTATAAAATATCCCTTTCGCCATTTCATTTTCTAATACCCAAGAAAAACACGTAAAAACCCATGACAAAGCACTGACTCAATTACTAGTATTTATATAAAAAACTTATTAATTTTAATCATCATAAAAATATACTTTATTTAATATATAAATAAATTTTGTTTGATTAAATTTTATCTAAAATATTCAAATTACAATACATCATTAAATATATATTTTTTATTTTTTTTTATCTAAAAAAAATTTAAAGTATAAAAACATTATTTTATCTATTTTTAATTTTTATATGATATTCTTTTCGAGATTTATCTTTATTTCTTATTAGAAAAATATTTTTTTTTATAAAAAAACATGATACATTATTATTTCTAAAACACAAATCTCTAAACATATAAAATATTTTTATATTTTCCTTTAAAGAAATGATTTTAATGGAATTAATGTCAAATTATTAGATATCAAATGTTTTTTAATTTTACTTTGAAAACTTTATGTCTTTATTAAAGAATGTTTTCAAAATTTGATAAGACTAAATAGGTTTTTTAAAACTAAATATCAAAAGTTAACATCGAACCAATATAAGATTTATCGTGTTTATATTATAAAACTAAATATGAAACATATTTTTACCTTTAACTTAAAGTCACAAACTTTTATACTTCGCTTTTTTTTTTCTGATAAAAAATCGAAAACAAAAATACTTAATGATCTATTATAGTTTGAATATTTTAGATAAAGTTTAGACAACAAAATTATTTATATATTAAATAAAATATATTAACAAGATGATTAAAATTAGTAAGTTTTTTTTTAATATAAATATTCTATTTTCTATGTTTCAGATTTTTATATTAATTTTATTTATGGTAAATAATACAAAATTTGATAGACTTCTTTTAGATTTCACAAATAGTCCTTAAGCGAAGTTTTACAAAATATCATAAATAGTTCTTATCCAAAGTTCTTTCAAATTAACGGTTATATCTAATGAAAACCCATTAGAAGAACCTATCGAGTGCAAAACTTTGTCCAAATGGACCATTCATATAAAAAGGATTTCATAAAAAATGTTTTGAAGACAAAATCAAATCCATATGGATCATTTATGAAATTATATATATATATATATATATATATATATATATATATATATATATATGGTAAGGATTAAATATGAATTACAACTATTGTGTGAATGTATAACTATTTCTTGTTCATTTGATTTAAAAAAAGAATGAATGTGATTTAAGGGTACATATGATTAACATAGGATATCATATACTATATAATTACACTTATTTAATTGTAAGTGTATTTTAGTCTATAAACTTATATTTAAAAAGGAAAGATTACTAACTAATTGCATAATTTAATGAGATTTTTATTAAAAACTTATTTATCTTATTTTACAAAGTAAGCATGGCTAATTAAACATCATTTAAAAAAAGTGATTTACATACATGCAATAGATTTAATTCTTTTAGAATAATTCATGAATATTGTTTATCATATTTTGAAGAAAAGGCAATATTCCTTTTACGCAGCCAATGTAATAACACCAAATGGAAATTCTCGAGGAATATAAAATATTCATTTTACATATAATCAAAATTTAAAAAATATATCATTTTTTTAAAGAATATGTAGTAAATAAGCCATTCTTGGTATGAATTTTGAAAGAATGGTTATTCTAAAAAAATGAAAAGAATGTGTATTATGAAAGAACACAATGATAAGGAATCTTTCTGATAAAGTATTATTCATCATCTTTTCCAAGTGCTATTGGTTTTCGTTCTCCATGTTCTTGTAGAATACGGTGCATTCCTAAAGAATATGTATTATCTTAGAACTTGGTTAGTAAGAAACACTAACATGCAAAATCAAAACATGTAAATGGAAATATTTGTTTCTTATTGTTGTGAATAATTTTGATAAACATAATAGATGATTCTTACAAAAAATAAATTATTAGTACATAATAATTCATAAAGAATGTGTTCGGATACACACAAAATTAATCGTGGTAAAATAAATATATTCTTAAAGAATTGTTCAGTTTCACATAAAATCAATTAAACATACAGTGTGTATAAAAATAAATACATTCTTAAAGAATGTGTTTGATTAGACGCAAAATCAATTGAACCTACTGATAAGTATTGAAAATAAATAATCTTTAAGAATCATCTAATCCGCTACAATTAACCTCCAACATTGGAACCTTAGTCGCGTACGATTAACCTCCAAAATCGAAACCTTAATTCATATTTTAATGATTTTTTTATTAAATCAACATTCATTCTTTAAAGAACTAACATTAACTGTAAACATATAAAATACCTTGATTCCTCTATTTTTGAAACAATCATCCTCAAAATCTATGGTGATTGGAAATTTCTTTTTCTATTCTCTAGTTAATTATCTCTTGTAAAAATTCAAACGGAAATTTATTAATTCCATATATATTGTCTATCAACTAATGAAAAATAAATAAACTAATTGTAAATTCCATACTTATCTCAGGCGATTGGATCAAAATTAATCATACATTCACACAATTTGTAAATTCCATATATATATATATATATATATATTACTTAGACATCACAATTTGTTTTTTTTAATTTATATACCAAAAAATCGCAAGTTTTTTTAGAAATTCGATGAAAAAAAATAAAAAATCGATTTTTTTTGGTTTTTTTTTTCAGAAAAAATTTCAAAGAAAATACATAAAAAGCTACGAAAATTCATAATATAAAATCAAAAAAAGATATATATATATATATATATATATATATATATATATATATATATATATATATATATGTGTATGTGTGTGTGTGTGTGTGTACTGTAAATTAAAGGGACACAGCTTAACTACCTACGATCACATCACTCATTTAACCGTGTACAAATAATTATAATCGTGCATAATGAATTACTCTTTTAATTTTGACAATTTTAATAACTATTTATAAATTATATAAGTTTATTATAAAATATATTTATTTTATAAAGTATATTTATTTTTATTTTTTTATTAAATCAATTAATTAACTATAAAAGAAATTTAATATCTAAATATCATTAACGGATAACATATAATATTATTTAATGTAGAGATCAAATATGACAAAACATGAAATAAAAATTAAAAAGATATTGGATAATAAGTTTTAGTAGTGAGTAGTGACTTCTAAAAAAATATTTTTTTCTAATGATAAAAACATTTTTTTTTCTCAAATAATAAAAAGTTTTTGCAAAATTTAGAAGGTTATAATATGGTTTTGGGTTTAATCCAATAGTCCAATACCATGCTTTTCTAGAGAAAAAATGAATAAATTAATTAATTAATTAATTAAAAGAAAAAAATAAAACACTTTTAATTGTTTTTAGGAAAAAAAAAAAAAAAAAAAAAACTTCATATGTTACTACTATGATTCTAAAATGTGCCTTGGATCGTATTTAACGAAACACATTTTCCAGGTAAGAAGTATTTTGTTTTGTCCAAGACTTTGGCAACTAGAAATCAACTGAAAGTGATTACTTAACTTCATCACTATAACAAATCTCGATTGCTACATCATAAACCCTAGATCAACCATTGCCATTACCATTCCCGGCGCCAATGCCGATGCCTTCATCTAGAAAGTTCTTCCAAGCTCGTCCTCAATCTAACCTGCTTCGGAGATCGGTCGTACTAACACTCTGTTTCGTCATCGGAATCGCCGGTTTATTATCGTTCGCCGTCGTCGTTTCAAGAGGACGAATCGGAGGAGGCGATAAATGTAACTACAGCAAACCTCTATCGGTGTCTGTCGTGTGGGATAAAAGCGGTGGTTCCACCGGAGGGTTGGTGTCTGACGGAGATCGGAAGCGGCATAAGGTGATGGGATTCGTCGGAATTCAGACCGGTTTTGGATCGGTTGGTCGACGGCAGTCGTTGCGGAAGACTTGGATGCCTTCCGATCACCAAGGCCTTCAACGGTACTTACTTCTAAGTTCTAACACAATTCGATACGTTTATTCTTTGTTTTTTTGATTATTGAATGCCCGATAAATCTGTAAACGCACAATCAGATCGGATCATAAGTTAATTGTAGATTAATTTCTGATCTTTAGTTTACTGTGTCTGTATGCAGCTTGGAAGAGGCCACCGGCTTAGCCTTCAGGTTTATCATCGGCAAAACCGACGATGCGTCAAAAATGGCGGAGCTGAGGAAAGAGGCGGCGGAATACGACGACTTCTTGATGTTGGATATTATGGAGGAGTACAGTAAGCTCCCATACAAAACGTTAGTGCTATTAGTCACAGTAAATAAACAAATTGTACTGAAGTTCATACTAATATGTACATTTGTTTCAGGTTAGCCTTCTTCAAAGCTGCCTTTGCACTCTATGATTCTGAATTTTATGTTAAAGCTGATGACGACATATATTTAAGACCAGGTGAGTTTTTCCATGAAGCTGCCTCTGATTTTCTTCTTTTCCTTTCTTGTTACATAATCCAAACATAATGGCAGAATGAAAAACAATAGAGAAAATTGAACATACACATGGAAAATCTCAAAACCGGAGAAAAAACAAGCTTCATTGATAAAAATTATTACAATAAACATAGATCAATCTCTCCAAAGATTTGACTTCACCTTTCTATTTGCAAAAACGAAAGAAAATACAAATGCAAAAGAAACTAGTATTTGACATTTTTGTCCGAAATGATTTGTGTTTTTGCTAGATCGGCTCTCGTTGCTCTTGGCTAAAGAGCGTCCTCACTCACAAACTTATCTTGGATGCATGAAGAAAGGTCCCGTGTTCACTGACCCAAAACTCAAGTGGTTAGTCTTTGAAAGCGTCCCATATTTAAACTATTTTTTTCTTCTATTTTTAGATGTTAGTGACTAAGATACTGAATTATTTGATATTTGTAGGTATGAACCTCTAGGGTATATGCTTGGGTCGGAATACTTTCTTCATGCTTATGGGTCCAATTTATGCTCTCTCTGCAGATGTTGTTGCAAGCTTGGTTGCTCTAAGAAACAACAGGCAATTTATTCACATTTTCACTTACCATATTGATATTTGTAGTATAAGATATCTTTATGTTACTGATATTTAGATTATTTTTTTTTATTAAAATATTTTCTCAGTTTCCGGATGTTCAGCAATGAGGATGTTACTATCGGTGCATGGATGCTTGCAATGAATGTCAACCATGAGGACAATCGTCAACTTTGCCAAACTGAATGTACACCAACGTCTATAGCTGTGTGGGATCTCCCCAAGTGTTCAGGTTAGTATTTTTTTTTTTTTCTGCTTTAACTTGTTGAGAAATCCAATGTAGATTTCACTAATGCCATGAATATTTTAATGTTGTAGGGCTTTGTAATCCTGAAAAGAAAATGTTGGAACTTCATCAAAAGGAAAGCTGTGCAAACAGCCCGACTTTGCCAGCTGAAGAAGAAGACTAGCATCAGGTTTTTTACTCTTTTGAGGAAAATATAGCACAGCCTTAGATAAAGTTTTTTCTGTTTGTATCTCATTCTTTTGTTATATACAAACCTAATCAATGTTAGTTTTGAAGGGGAAAAGTTTGTGATGTAACGTTTACAAGACAATGAGGAGAGTATGTCTAACTCATATATCATTTATGTAATTAGTGATTGTTTTTGCTCTGGTTGTACGACCCTATAAGTTCAAATGACATTTGTAGTGATGTTAGTGAATTATGTCGTTCTCCTTAAACATTTGATTATAAACAAACATGTTTTCTAAAAACAGAAATTGAAAAGTCAAACTATAGAGTTTTTGTCATGGCTTAGTTACACAAAGAATTGTAAATCTTTCATGTTAATAAAACAAATATAAACTGTATTGAGCTTGTTAGCTATCAGCAAGATCCTCAACAAGTTTTTTTTCACTCTCCACTCTGGGTAATCCCACCTTACCCTTAGCAGATACATTCTCACTCATCAATTTATTAGCACTAGCAATTGGTTTAGTTGAAGATTTGACATCAGGGGTTTTGGCATCTGAACACTTTTCATCAGACTGAGAGTTCCTTGTTTTAGAAGAAGATGTGGTTTCAGATTCGGAGGAGTTGGTTTCAGAAGAATTATTTTCAGTTAATCTTGTTGGTTTATTCAATGCATGGTAATGGTGGTGTGCCATTGGAGATCTCATATTAGGGCTGTTAAGACATGAAGAATTTTCATCCAAATTCTTTGGTTTATTCAACGCATGGCAGTGTGGACAATAGTAAGTAATCACAAGAAAATCTTCCTTCCTTGCAAGACCTGCGATTAAGCCATTATTATGTTGTTAATGTATTTACATGAAAGCCAAACAGATGAAAAAATAAGTTTACACTCACCATTGTGCATATGGCAATTACCACATATAAGTGCATAAGATTGGGTAGGGTCCTCACCCACAAGCAATGCAGCAAGTCTAGCAATCCAACCCCCATCTTGTGGACTTATAGTCACAGGACTATGCTCAACAACAAGCTCACTAGGTAAAGAAATCTCAGAAACCTCACTTCCTGCATATTGAAAACCTTCTTTTTCTGAATTACTTCCACTTCCAGGAGATCTTCCTTCCAATGTGTTTCTTCTCCTTAAACCACTAGACTGCAGAACCTCAAAATCATTGCTCTTCCCTGTGCCAAGGTGAACATTCAGACGTGACAGATGTGAGTCATCTAGGTTCACCTGTAGCCCTGATTCAGCTCCCAATTTGGATGCAAGCACTGATGCAGCAGCTGCCTTTGCTGCTGGATCTGAATCATATCTCTGAATCAGTTGTTGGGTGTTGTAATAATTAGTTCTGTCTTTAAGTTCATTGATTTTCTTCTGCCTTTCAGCCCGAAGCTTCTCTAAAGATCTTTCATCCCTTTGATCGCCTATAAACATATCAAATTTTGATTAAGTCGTGGAATATGGAATTCAGGTAATGAATAATGTTATATATGTGTGAACTGTGAAGTGAACTTACGAAAAGTTTTGAAGCTTTGAAGTCCACAATACAAAGCCCATGATAAAACAGGCAGAACAAACATTGGTAAAACTCGCAGAGCTCTCGTATTCCACTCTAAGTTTACTGATCTTGTTGTTGTTATGGCATATCCGATTGCTGCAATCTGAAATCAAAACAAACAATACCTAGTGTTTTCATCTACATGCTTTGGAGTTATTTGTTCACATGAAGAATAAGAAAAACAAGAAACATACCACTTGCTAGTTGAAGGTCATTGTTTGAATTTCACAAATTATGTCACAAGCCATATCTATGGACACCAAATTATAATTGACTTGTCTAATTGAGAAAAATAGAACATGATAATAATCAAATACAGAAACAATCCCTTGGGAAGAAACAATAGGTTCGAGTTTTATAGTCTGCTGCATATGTATATAAGCAGCACTGATACATTGTATCAAATAGCAAATAGAGTAACTGAATCGGCAAGGGAGATAACTGCCTGGTAGGCTAATCAAGCAATATATCAGACATTATTGAAGATTAAAGAGATAATGATGAGGATTGAGTTTACCTCAAAAAGAACAGAAAATGCAATTATATCCCTAGCAGTTCTCCGCCATCTCTTAGATCTTTTCTTCATTCTACCGAGAACAGTAGCCTCTTCTTTAGATATATGTTGCAATCTCTTCTCAAAATTATCACCATGTAACCTAGCCAATCCATTCCAAATTCGAGAGAAGATACTCCTCTTCTCCTTTCTCGGCGAATCATCGTTCTTCTGTTCAACTACTTCCTTTACATCGTTCTCCGCCATTTATCATACACGGTTTTTATTTTCACTTATTTAATCGTCTATTCCACGTACAAACATACGAATCATGATTGTAGAATCAAAGAGATAATACGGTCTATTCAAAAACCCTAGGTGAAACCACGTACCTGATATCACGCAACTGTGAATGCGAAATCTGCGTCTGCAATGGAAGGCGAATTTTGATTGTTTTAGAAATAATCACGAAACAGTGTTGGATCGATTACTTGATTGTAAAGCAAAAATCAAGCAAAGAAATGTAAGAAGCATGAAAGAGTCCATGGGGGAATGAATTGAACCGACTCCATTAAGGAATTCGTTACAGCGCCTGAAGAAGGAAACATGGATCACACACTGTGTTTACGTGGAAAAGGTACCTTGTCCATTCAAAAAAAGTTAATAGTAATTATTTTAAAAGTAGAGCTAATCTATTAAAATAAACAATTTTATAGCAATATCCTTCCTACTCGAGAATAAGGTTTCGGTTTTTCTTGAAAAATTTAGTAAGCATTTTTTGGTTTTTCTGGAAGGCTGAAATAGCTTTCTCGGGAACCTCCAGGAGGTGGCGGTATTCAATCCCAGGATACTCAAGGAGAAAGGCGTCGTATCCCACGGGTTCTACTAATACATCGTATAACGGGTCCAGGCTTGAAGTTCTACCAAAAATGGAATGTGACACTCATTTGAAAATGAGAATAAAATCAGGATGTCAAGACATCTATATGACCAAGATGACCATCTCACAAATTGGATTAGAACAAATATTAAGCTACTTTCCTTTAGTAGATCTATCATCCCCTCATTATAGTCCTCTACAATCAATAGTATTTTGTCGGAATACATTCTTTCTTTTCACCTTAATAGTCCTATCCATAGTCATTACCATAGCCCCAATCATGGCTACTAATAAAATCAAACTAGGAACCAAAACCAGGCGGAATAGTAGGTACAAAGTAAATTGCCCACGACTAGCATCGATGTTCATAATCTAACTAATTGAGATAATTGAGAGAATTAAGAGGTTATTGATTTAATTCCAGTTAGAGGAAATATTTAAATTATTTGATGTTTCAAAAAAAAAACATGTAATGAAGAAGCATAATGTTTCTTTTATCAATTTATATTAAAATGTTAAAGTTACCAGTAAAAAATAATAAGATCAATAAAGGTACGATGGATATATCGGTGCATCTTACACTCGACCATTTATAAATATAAAAGATTGATCACAAAAATATTCAAATGGTTATGACATTTTTTTAAACGGTTGAATAGTTTATAAGAAAATTTTCAATATATCATTTTAAGCTTTAAATATTACTTGAATGTCGTTGTAAATTTTAAAACTATATGGACTTCCTATATATATATATATATATATATTGAATTTATTTTTGTTTAATTATGATTGGTTGTTAAAGGCACACAATACTTATTAAAAACATTTGAACCTATATATATATATATATATATATATATATATATATATATATATATATATATATATATATATATATATATATAGGTTCAAATGTTTTTAATAAGTATTGTGTGCCTTTAACAACCAATCATAATTAAACAAAAATAAATTCAATAATAAATCATAAAATGGTATAATAGTAATCTAAGCGTAATTATTTATAGTAAAAATTAAGTTAATTAATATTCCGTTATATTAGAATATTAGTTTACAAACCCTATACACATATAACCTATTCTCTCTATTTCTCTAAAAATCGCCGGCTACAACATCTTCTCTGTTTATAATCGCTGGCCAAAAAATATTACCGCCCCTCTTCACCAAAATCGCTCATCAAATATATGAACGAACATATCATCATCTATCCACCTCTGTGTAAATTAGGGCTTCTTCAGCTCTCCCCTCCCCTTCATCAAAATACAATTTGTTAATCACCAAAGTTTTTTTTGAATCCATCATATTCGTTAGTATCAATATGCTCGATTGTTAGTAGTGGGTTGAAGATGATGATTTGCATTCCGTTCTTGCCTAACATTCTTGATTTCCAAGTCTCGGCATTTAGAGATATTTCATTGAGGTAAGTATTTTTTTTTCAAGTAATTGTTCTATATTCATTATTTTGTTTATGGATGAAAAGGAAAAAATTTTATATACTTAATTCTTGTCGTCTTCATAATGGTCTTCTCTATTTCTCTCTGCTATGTTTTTGATCCACCATATAACCATTTCCAAATTGTAAGAATAATTGCTTTGTTTATTTGTTTTTAATTGGTAAGTTCTTATTATAATGCGAAATATCCGGAAGCTATTTTTTATCGGTTTACCTACAAATTGTCAATTTCAATTTAGGTAAATTTTGTGTCTATCGGAATTTGACTCAACATTCATTAAATTACATTTTTATGTAGTCTATAAATTTTTATCTAACTTCATTCATTATTACTCTGTTTGGGATACTTCCTCGCCATCTCATTCTTAACTGTGAGTAATGATATTATTCATTCTTAACTATGAGTAACGATGGATAATTATTATGTTTTGTGATTATTGATGCATCATGTATACATATTATTTTTTTAGATGTGATCTAATTTTGATTATATATATCTTCATTGAATTTTTTTTGTTTGATGGATCATGAAACTAATTTTGATTATAGCAAGTTTCTCACAGAATGTTATCATCATATAGTTTTATTTGATGATAATTATTCTTAAAGAATAGTATATTCTAGGAAAATGCATTTTATGTATTCTAGCAGAATGTATTTTATTTATTCTGTCAAAATTTATAAAACGAATCTTATCAATAATATTAATTTAGAATGGATTAGTGTTTTTGTTAGATTTTAATGGTTTTTTTAGGTTTTGAAGAGTTTGTCATTCATGTTGAGAGGAAAGAAAAATACGTAGAACAAACATGTCTTATAATAGAATGTATTATGCAAGAATGTATAAAACGAATCTTAGCAATATTATTCTTTCAAAATGAATTAATGTTTTTTGTTGGGTTTTGATGTTTTTGTTGCATTTTTTATAGGAATGGCTTGAAGACATTATAGGAATGACGCGAAGAATGAATCAAAGATTGATCACACTCACAGTTTAAGAATGTTGTTGTTTTTTAAGAATTACACTTGTTATTCTGTCAGAATGTTGTTATTATTCAACAATTTTCTTTTTGTATCACAATCATAGAATGTAATTATTTGATAGATTATTAGTTCAATAATAGATTTTGTATATTGTTTCATAATGTACTTATTCATGTTTTCTTCTTATTTATTTATTTTTAAAGAATATCATAAACTGTTATTCTAACAGAATGTCATTATAATAAAATTTCATTCTAATAGAATTGTATTATGATAGAATAAAATAAGTTATAATCGGTTATGATTAAAAACTAATTAGAACTAGAATCGAGTTTTTTTTTTAAAAAAAAAAACTCAGAATTATCCCTTTAATTTTGAAAATTTCCTTTTATAAATATAGTTAATTGTCTAAAATACCATTTTAATTAAATTTGAGCGATTATATGATATATGTGATCTCATTGTAATATCGTAGACCCGCAGATCATGACCATTGATTTTATTCATCTATTGGTCCAGAATTGTGCTTATGGGCACACAATAGATGAAAGAAACAAAATAACATATATATATATATATATATATATATATATATATATATATATATATATATATATATATATATATATATATATATATATATATATAGAGAGAGAGAGAGAGAGCTAGGTTCAAATGTTTTTAGTAATTATTGTGTGCCTAAATGCACCAATCAGAAAATTACAAATAATTAAATAATTAATTAAATAGAAAATGGTATTTTCAGTTTTTTGCATTAGCAATTAATGAGATCATTTAAATAAATCCCTACAATTAAGGGAACAAAACAAATACCTAATATATTTCTTTTACAAATGTGTGCATCAATTTTTTCCCTTTATTATCTCTTCTCCCTCTCTTTCTCTAATCCTACCTTTGCATCTTCATAACCCTAACCAAATTGCCGGCCATCCCATTGCTACGGTTCACACACATTTTTCTATCGATTTTTGTGGTTTCCCCTATCACCTCTCATTTTTTCACGATTGTTCCTTTTGGGCAGGTTGATTTGCCTTTGATTTACGTGTCGATCTTCACCTTTCTCTATCCCTCTCGCCCCACGTCGCTGATTTCGACCGGAGACGAAAAAGAGAAGCAGCAACAACGAAGATGCCTCCTTCAAGCAGCAGGTAATTAGAGGGTGTCCACTCAGTCAACGGTTGTGTCTATCCTCTCTCCGATTCCTGCAATACTAGACGATTTGTTATTGGTCACCACATCACCGTTTGTGGATGATAGATCGATTAGGAGAGAGGCAAAGACCAGCCTACCAAGGTACGATGTGATTTTCTAGAAATATGTTTTTTTATTAATTTGGAATATGAATTTGTAGGATACAAAATTGCTGCAAGCATTTATCTGTATAAATGTGTGTTTATATTATATGAAATCTTTGACTAATGAGTAACAACTGATAGAATCTGTGATGATACAGTGTGTGCCTAAAAGGTGTTCGATGAAATGTCGATTAGAATAAATTAAAATTGTTTGATGTCTACTACATTCTATCAAAAATTACAGTTGTTATTCTTTTAGAATGCTCCAAATTTGTTAATATTTGAAAGTTGATTGTCTTTTTATTTATTTATTTATTTATTTGTGGATTTAGGGTTTGAAGAGACTGAATTTGACAGAATTCTATTTTAATCTCTCCTTATTTGTCAAGATAGTAAAAGTAAAAAACATTGCAAGATAGGAAAAATGAAATACATTCTATTAGAATCTGATCATGTGGTATGTATTCTGTCAAAACTCTTAGAATGTCTATTATTCTGGCAGAATTCGATTTCAATCTCCTTATTTGTCAAGATAGGAAAAGTAAAAACAATTACAAGATAGGAAAAATGAAATACATTATATTAGAATATGCTATCATTCTATAATATATAG